TTGTTTTTTTTTTCTTAATTCTCTTCTATTTATATATATTGCTACTTATGTACATACGTATGTGCGCACTTCACTCACTTTTCAAACTACATACACATGTACATATTTATGTTTATTTTGTTTTGAAAAACATGTTGAGAAATGCATACTCGTAAAGCAGGGAGAAAAAGTGAAAAAGCTGTTTGTCGTGACACATACATAGGAGTGTGTATGTATGTATGTACAATACATACATAAGTATACCATGCACACTTCTTATCATTCCGCGTTTTTTATTTTGCTCGTCTATGTTGTGCGCATTTTTATTTTTGCTTGCTTTGCGTGTTTTGTTTGTGATTTGTTTTCAATATTTCAGTCTACAGGCAATTTTTATTTTTTTTATTTTTATTTTTTTGCCTTTATTTCAAATGCTCATATTCATAGGTATGTGAATCGTTATGTGATTGTAGTGCGTTTGCATATTCATACATACCTACAATACATAAACTAGACTACACGTATGTACATACATACTTACATATGTATGTATGTAGGTATGAATGCATATCACAATAACTGTAATGTTTCATTATATGTAGTTATAACAATTGCTATAATTTGTTGTTGTTGCTGTTGTAGTTGTTATTTTATTATTATTATTATTTTTTTTTTTGTGTGCTGTGATTGTATTATCAGTTTGTTTGCGTTACATTACAATACACATTGTCGGCTATTTGCTCAAAAATAAAAATACATATGTAAATACCTATATACATATATACATGCATTTATTTACTGCTTATGTACTTGCATGCTATGTAACCATATGTGTAAGTATTTATTTATGTATGTAAACGCTGCTTTACAAAACTTTTAATCATAAAGAATATATGTATCTGTATGTAAATGTATGTATGTATGTAGAATGCTGGCAATGTTTTATGTACGGTGAAAGTTTGTAAACTACTCGTACATACATAAATACATATGTATTTCACTATATTTAGAAAAATACATGCGGCACTGGGGAACATATTTACACACATACATACATACATACATACATACATACATACATACATACATACATAATATAATATAAAACATACATAACATACACACCATGTGACAAATTATCAGATAAATCGCCCAAAATCGCCACTAGTTCTTCTAATAGCTTTCGGATAAAAACAAGTTCTTTTTTCTTTTAAAAAGACAATGCTTTGTGTGAGAAACCTTTAACATATTTAGATGCAGGAAGAAATCCAAGTATTTTTGGTCAAATAAAATAAGTCAATATAAATTTAGCTCATAAACTGCAAAACGAAAAATGTTTCGCATAAATTGTATAAACAAAACATACGTACGTATGTATGTATATATGTATAAACTTCCGAAAATAAAATATTTTAAAATGTCTAATCAAAAATTCAACGCGGTCATGCACCCCCATCAACAAATTTCTATTCGTATAACGAATGTTGCTGAACTCTAATAGTTCACATACATACATACATACATACATATTGTTCGACAAAAAACACAAATGTACAGCGCGACCTTCGCACTTAATTTACATTGGCGATTCGATTTATAAGAGTCATCCGCGTGGGAGGAGCAACGTCTTCGATGAATTCCGCATATAAATTTATGAACATTTTCTTTTATTTCATGAATTATTCTTCAGATTTATTTTAAAATTACTGGTACATACATATATAACAGTATAAAAAGTGAGAGTAAGTTTTCTTTTACGTTTACGAATTTTACATAAATTATTTAGGAATAATTTAGCATTTTTGGTGTTCATCCCTCGAAATGGTGGTGAATGAAAATTACGTAAATCAATGCAAAATTAATCACATAGTGTGTGTTTATGCACATAATCAGGCCTATTCTGTCGAGGTAACAAAATTTACCTTGGTATTAAAATTTACCATTCAGTAAATTTTGTTACCATTTCGTATTCTGAGCTCACTGTTACACTGTAAATTTTGTTACCAGCGAAATAGGAGGTAACAAAAATATCTGCTGTTTGATTTTGTGTTGTAAATTTGAGAAAAAATAAAAAAAACCAAAATGGGCCTGGAATTCATTGAAGATGAAGAAAAAAGTGCCAAAAGCCGTATTTTCATTCAGCTTTTTTTGTTGCATATGCATATTTTCGATAATTATTTTCAAATATATATTTATGATTTAATAAACAAGTTAATAAAACTTTTTAATTTTTTGTGCACTGTCTTCCATTTTGATGTGAATCTTTTTCTTTTTACTTTACCAACTGGCAAATGTAATTTGACATGGACAAAAAAAGCAGTGCTGCCAAAGTTGTTTCAAACATTGTAACCAGTTCGCCAGAATACCAAATTCAATTTCGGGTGTTAAAGGAAAGTAACAAAATTTACTTTACTGGTAACAGTGAGAATAGGCCTGAATGTGTCCATATATATATACTCGTATAAGGTTATCAATTTCGTGGTTTGAAAAGTATCGGGCTATATTTTGACATCTGTCAAACTTGAATGTTATACCAAACATCAGTCAGTTACTCACAAAAATGAGTGTACACAGGGTTTCGTAAGGGAACTACGCAAACTATGCAAAATTCAGTGAATAAATTTGAATTGTTTTGATGATCATTTGAAGCTTGAACTCCCATCGACTATATTTGAGCATAAATTAATTTATTTATTTAGCATAAAAGAAAAACTTAAACAAAAAACTAAAGTTATTGATAAATTCTGGACACAAAATTGAGTATCACTCCATGGAAAATAAAAATTTAATTCACTTAATTTAATTAATTTAATTAATAGGTTGTGGGTCCACCACCAGCTGCATCTATTACAGCTTGCATTTTTTTTTTTTTTTTTTTTTTTTTTTTTTTTTTTTTTTTTTTTTTTGTAAAATTAGGTTGATATTTCGCACCATATTCTTATAATCTCCTTTTTAAGTTCTTCTCTTGTACGGGAACTAGATTTTTTCAGCTTAAATTTCAATTCTTCATCTTCTCTATGAGGCTCAGATCGGTGGATTGTGGAGGAGTCTTAAGCTGTTTTGCAGCGTTATAAAGTAACCATTCTTTCACTATCATCGCTGTATGTTTTGGATCGTTGCCACACTGACGGAAGCTTTATTTTTTCCATGCTTGCACGTAAATTAGACTGCAATATATACAAATAATAAAATCTCCTTGGTCATGTTGCTTTCAATAAATTGAATGGTGCCTACTCCATTAGCTCCCATGGGCCCCCTAAAGCATAACTGAACCACCACTATGTTTACTCTCCCACCTTAATTTTTATTTCATAGCTCCGTGTTTGGATTTCTCCATAAAATTTGGCGTCCATCAGATCCCCAAACGTTAATTTTTGTTTCGTTAGTGTAGATTACACTTTCCCAGAAACTTAGGCTTATCAACATGAGCTCTCGCGAATTCAAGCCGTTTTTTCTTATTTACACTGGAGATAAATGCCTTTTTACGTGCTATCCGTCCATGTAAATTATCCCCAGTTTTTGGTTAAATTTTTTTATGCCAAGCATAGATCCTAAGTTGTTATTCTGCGGCTACGGGTTACAAGCTATTTTTATACGTTAAAGCATAAATCCGATTGCAATTTACGTGACGGGCTCTGAGTAGCGAGGAATATAATTTGGTATTATATGATGCTTGATAAGGGGTTTTTGACAGTCTTTGCATATTCAATATAAATGAAAATTCTACTAATTATAGAAAGCCACAACAGCGTGCGAGCGGGTATGCTAGTCATATAATAAAGATTCAGATTAATTTCTTTTTAGAAGTTTCACATCACATCACATTTTTTTTTTTTTTTTTTTTTTTTTTTTTTTTTTTTTTTCAAAATAATATCCATAAGCTTTTGTTTAATTAACAATAAATATCATTTGCCTAGTCGGAAATAAAATCTTGAAGCTTTTAATATGGCAATTTCAATTACATTGGTTCGATATCGGCCAAAAACACGCATATTGAATTGGATTTATACCCTATAGGGAACGAAACCAGCTGTTACACTAACTAGTCCATTTTCCATCATTTTCGTTTGTTAGCGAAACAGAGTGATGGTCTACAAAGTTTGATATGTACGATTAAGTATCAGCTTCGTACTAGTTTAACACTAGTTCATTTATGTATTTTGAATTTTCACTTCGAAAACATGAAAGCAAATATAAAAACAAGTAATAAGAGCTGTCTTTGGCCTTGCCGTAGTCTTTGTACCTTTTACGACAATACATAACAATACATACAATATGTACATATGTAAATATTAAATATTAATTTGTAGAATGGGAATGAATGCAAGATTTCTCGCTCTCAGATGCTTTTTAGAAGGATTTTTTTATGCAAAAACCGCCTATCGAAACAAATCGTTTGTATGGGAGCTAATGCTATATTCCTTCGCTTCCGATAATTTTCAGCGTCAATGTGTAATTCATACTATTTATGCACCGTAGCGAATTTCTTGCTATTAAATATATTTTTTTTTGACAAATTTATGACCCGAAACCTGAAATATGAGAAATCGGTCGTATATATAGTGTAATTCCCCGATCTCGCCAGTTCCGGCAAATGATCGTTTAAATGTGAGGGACTAGTTTGGTAAAAAAAAGGGCAGAGCGACATGAATAACTCAACTCCATCGGCATACATTTTGAGGAATCTACTTCTTCTCTGTCTGGTACTTACAACTTTGGACCTAGGTTATAAAAAAAGACCACAGGTGAGGTGGCGGAAATTTTTATTTTTTCCGTTACTGGTGATTTCCCAACGAATAGGGAACTGGTATGATTTCATCAATAAAATATTAGTTTTTAACTAGTATTTCCATATATTAGCTTAGATTTGAACTGCGAGCTACTAGCACCGTTAAATAACATTACCTAAATTATCTTCTTTAATACAATAATTTTTATATAAACTCTTCCCCATAAACTTCTTTTACAAACGTACAATAAATAATACTTAAATTTTTTACTTAAATTTTTTCGTATATTTCCAGAGGTCGATATCCAAGCAACAGCCTTTTTATGATTACGTGCAATACATTCAAGTCTACGTTGATCGCCGCCACCACCACTGTCTGTCTTTCAGTTTTCATCATCTTCGCTGCCACCGCCGCCGTCATCGGTACAACCATCGTCAACAATCAACAACAGCAGCAAAACGCATAACAGCCGCTCTTGAAGCCGTGATTTTGTCCTTTGCATACGCACTTTTCCTCCATTAAGTCCGGTAACGTTTGATACATCGCACAGGGACGCTAAAAGTATTTATTTATTAAGAAGAGAAAATTTTAAAATAACATTTTGTAGCACTGCCAATAGTTAGCTAGGGTCAATACACAAACTTCGTTCATAACTGGTAGCTAATCCAAGCAACTTCGTGATGTTGTATGTATTTCATGTCGACGTCGGACGCATGATGTCCTTTGACATGGCAGTGGCACTGTCGTCAGTTGAAAACCTCAAGGAGACCATTGAACGTGTGCACGGATTGCCGTCTAAGAACATCGTGCTATTGGTAAGCGGCGGCGAGATGTTGAACCAAACTACACAAGTCTCTTATTATTCGGCTGGAACCGATACGAATCCCATATATATGTTTTTAATTGAGGAGAATCGCGACCCAGCTGACCCAAAAAATGAGCAGAAAAATGATCAAAAAAATGATAAGAAGAAGGATCAGAAAGCTGAGGAAGAACGTGATCTTGAATTCGTCGAGCAAATTGAGCGTTGCAAACTTTTGCCGACGATCTTGTCTTCGGTGGAAAAGCGCACACAATTAGCGATGAAAATTTATGAAATTGCGCGCGATGATGAGCGTTTCTCCGAGCGTCTGGTGTATGAGCAACACTTGCAACAGCAGGGTTGGTGGGCTGTGGTGGCCAATATGGAGGATCTGATTGAAGAGTTTCGACAGCGTTTTGTCAAATTTTGTGCTGCTTTTGAACAGCATTTGGAACAACGTGCTAAACATATAGATATATTGCATACCTTCAGCGATGGCCTAAGAACATTGAGCCGCATACCCATTTTGCCAAGTTTAATGTCTTTGGCCGAGGAGGATTTTCATGGCTTTGATTGCTTTCTCGACGCGGATGATGTGTTTTCGCGGTCCCATTCGCAACAGAAATCGGTGCTAGTGGCAGGTGGTGTACCTGCCCAACAAACTGTTAGCGATGGACAGCCCGCCGAGACGGAAACCGCAGAGAATGATGGTGATGATAATGCAATTGCAGATGATAGAAGCTCAACATCTCCGAATAAGAAGCAGAAAATGGGCACAGAAGTAATTGAAGAAGCGTCAACAACGATCTCGCCGATGACAGTCACTGATAAGCAAAGTTCGTCAAGCAATAGCTCGCGTCCATTATTGAATCTCTTACAATGGATCACATCCAAAGAAAATCAAAGAAGATTGGAAACTATGTGCGATGAATGCATTCAAGGTCTGAATACATTCGATCACAATGTTTACCTACGTCTGCAAGACGAAGCCCAGCACATTCTCAAACAGGCTGAACAGCCCGAAATTAGAGAGATCAAGGGCCTCAGCGAACGGCTATCGCGGCTGGATCAAATTATAATTAAGATCAGAAACACGGTCGGCCAGCAGAAGGAGTTATGCACTTCCTTCCAACAAAATCAAACGCGGGCTAATCATTTGCGTGATCCGTCTATTTTACCCGATCTTTGTCTAACGCACCAAGAACAATTGATTGTAATGAATGATAACTACCAAAAAATACGCTACCATCGACGTCTTATTTCCAAAGCTAAAGAGGAGCTGGGCACTAATTTACATGCACGATTGAGTCGCATGGTCCATGTTGAAAACAGCATGAGTGAGTTCGACAATCGGCTGTTGTTCTATCTGAAGTGTGTGCGACGTGCCGAGCGACATCTACAGGTAATGGAGCAGATACACCAAGCACCCTGTATGTATATGGCCGCCGTTACGGAGGTAAGTTGAAGTAAACATACATATTTACGTGTATATGCGTATTTCTATATGAGATGTGTAATTTTCAGGTGGTGCGACGTAAAATATTTTCGCAAGAGTTTCGACTTTGGGCGACAAAGCTCGCAGATGATTTCGATACCATACACAACGAAGAGATCTCGCGACGTCGGCAGTTCAACGCGAATTTCGAGGGGCACTTTTTAAACAAATTATTCCCAGGCATGAACGACATGCCGCCAGCATTTGCCAATGAAATACCCCTGCTCTTCGATGCGCATTTGCCCAATATCAACAAGTCGGACATAGATATGTTGACGTCCCACCTTCCAGACTTGGCACAAGGTGTTAAGTTACCCGACATGAGACATGTGATAAATTTTTTCGTTTCACGTTCGGGGCCGCATCAGAAATTGCGATTGGAAGAGTTGTTGGGTCCGCAACTTGAAGGAGCCCTTGGCAATCCAGCTTTGGCAGAGGAAGTGCCACAGATAAGCGAGATGGGTACTGGAGAAAAACCATTATTGCATCAAAGACTCGCAGATTTACAGAAGATTGGCGACGGCTGTGAGGGCTCCGAAACGGATACGGAGAATGAGTTTGAAAATCTGGCCGTGGCGACGGATGAGACTTTACAATCGGCAACCCCAATGCTTGTTACTACGGCCACGTCCACAACGGTCATAGAAACGATGGCACGAAGCGTAGCCACTTCTTTGTTGCTTATGCAAAATGCTGAGACCCTCACAGACGAATCAGAATCATCGGCCCGTGCCGAGGTAGAGCATTTACGCGGCATTTTAAGTGCAATGTATAAACTGACATCTGAATGCTTACGATTGTCACGAGCCGACCTGGAACACTGCCGCACAGAATTTGCAACGTATCGTGAGGATCTTCAATCTGAGCTACAAATGCTCCATGATCAGTGGAATCTAACTCGCTTGCAAAGTGAGAAACGAGAAGAAGAACTGCATCAAACGCAAGCGATGCTAAACGAATCGACGCAGCAACATGATAACGAGCTTGCTACAATGCGCGCTAAACTTAACGAAGCAGACGAGTTACGACTGCAGATAGAGGAATTAAAAGAAAAGTTATCTGCAGCAGAGGTGGAACAACAGCGTGCTGTGGCGGCGGCACGTGAAGAATTGCTGCATGAACATAAGTCTGAGATAGAATCCCTGCGCTGTCGTTACAAGCTCATGACATCCATGGAGTTGTCGCCGTCCGAAACGAGCCTCGAAAAGTTGGAGCGGCCGCCTTCCAACCTTGATCAGAATACAATCGAACGCAGCGAACACGAAGCAATTATAGCTCAGTTGCGTGCAAATTTCGAAAGTGAAAAAGAGAAAGCCATTGTCACGGCATTAGAGGTAGAACGAGCTGTTTGGCAAACCAAATACAATTTGAACTCAGAATCTGTGATGGGCAATGTGAACATACTTAAGGAAATGCTGGAAGATAAAGACCGGCAGGTGGATCTGGTGCGTAATCAGAATCTTTTGCTCAATAAAGAGATGTTTGAGTTGAAGGTACGCATCGATGCGCTTACAAACGAGGAAGGCAATAGCTGGCTCAAGGATAAAATAGAGTATTTGAGTCGTGACAAAAAACGCTTAGAGGAAGAGCTATCAATTGAGAGGGAGCGATCCAGACGTTTGGAAATGGAGACATCCTACTCTCCCTTGAGGGTGTAAGTATGGAATATTTTCGATTCTTCATCAAATTTTATATCAAATCGTAATTTTTTCGTTTAGACCCAGTTCTAGTCATAAATATCTGCTTTTGGACTCCTGCAGTAAAGGTGATGTTGTTTTTGTTGTATGGAGTGTACGTCATAATCAATACATGGTAGTGCAGGACTCTCCAATTCTATACTTTGTCCATGGAGATTGTCTGTCAGCAATGAATTTGCGCACACCGTCCGCACCTTCGCCAAGTGATAGTACAATTTTGGAAAATATTCTCCTACCGGTGCCTTACTACGCTATCGGCCGTGTCGTTGATAGAGAGTACTGTCAGGCTAAGAAGGTAAGTTCACTTGCTTGTTTTCGTAAAAGACTTAGCTTATCATTCATTCCCTACTTTATTCTGATCGTTTTAGGATGAAAATCGCTATCGAGTTATGAAAGGCACACGATTTTACCGTGTAAAGCTAGTGCCATTATATTCAAACTTGTTGACTGGACGTCGAGATAAATTGGAGGGTAAGTTAAACATATTTATTTTAAACAACCATTTACTGAAATATTTTCATTCTTCAATTTGCAGCATTGTACTGTACATCTACCGCCACGTCGTTTTCACAATGTGATTCGACTGCTGACACTGAATCCAGTGCTTTGATGGCCAGTGGTTGTAAGGCACTCGTGCCAGTGAGTAGCTGCAACCCCGCATCGCCAACACAGCGCCAAGGCCAGTTATCGCCTGGTATTAGCACAATTGAGGAGAGGAAGATACCACCAACAATGACAACATCAACGCCATTAAAAGATAAAACCGATAGCACCGCATCAGATTCTAAAATCGAGGACCGTTTGTCCCCTGCGGCCGCATCGATAAACATGGAGGATAGCGATATGCCAGCTAGGAGTTCGGCAGGCGAACGTTGTCGCTACACCAGCTTTAGCATAGAAGAAGATACGGAAAACTTTACGACTTTAACGAGCTCGCCAACGTCTATGTTATCTATGCCTTCTCAACAATTAATGCTACAGACTGTGATAACAGAACAACCGACCGCATCCAGTAAGCAAAATACCATACCCATCATAACGACGGGTCCCTGCATAGAGACAGCTGCGGATCTTAGCGGTTGTTCGTCGGATTTAAAGAACGCATCGTTTGCCACCGCCTGCAGCGAAGATTCGGATGAGTATCGCTCCTTGGAACACAAGGACGAGACGGATTTTGTCGTTTCTGAATAGTGATGATTCATTCTGTACGCCGGTATTAACGCCAGAAATGCGTTTGCTGCATATAAGCAAAAAAAGAAAAAGGAAAAATATTTTCAAATATTAGCCGATATATTTAAAACAAAATCGTTATATGCAATAATATTAATAACGGTATGATGAAAGAGAGGGAGCAAGGACAAAACTATTAAGTAAACTAAAGTGGGGTCATGAATAAGGATAATTAACTAAATTTCACTTTAACTTAAGTTTTAAGTAGTTGTAAAAATCGTATGAATTAGTTATAATGGTATTTATCGAAACAGGATTTCCACTCTTATTAACTAACCCCAAAAAGGAAGTATAAAATGTAAAAAAAAAAGCGATGGTCGGGTTAAAATAATCAAATAATGTATATAGAATAAAATCGTACGCCACGCGGCTCGTACGCATTGACAAAGTGATTGTTAGTTCTAAACGAAAATTAAGCGTGACAACGAACAGCGTCACACCAACATATATGTAGATCTAAATGCATAAATATATATATTTTTTATTCCTTAACTTAATGCAAAACAGCTTCAAATTTGCACTCAAAATATAGTTATAAAACATTATTTCTTAAACAACAACAACAAATTGTGCTACTAAAACTTTAAGAAATGAACAAAAAAAAATTGAAATAAATTGCTTAAAACTAAAATTGCGAACCAAGTGTAAGTATGTATACTTATTTTCAAGTTATTATATCGAAAACCTGTTATTAATTAAGGAACTCCTGGAAAATGTGTTGAGCTGCTTTTTGTCAGCAAATTACACGAGAATAACAAGAAAAACACTACTTAGCTTAAAGGCATATTTAAAGTAATAAAAACAGAAAGAAATCACAAAAAGTGCGTTCTTCTTGAAACTGATGGAATTTTGGTTTTAATTAATTTTAATTTTTTTAGATTAGATGCATAAATTATTTTTCTACTTACATATACATATGTATGCATGCCTCATATAATCACGAAGAATTGATACTTACATACAACTTTACCGTTTTATGGCGTTTAACAAGAAAAAGTCAGCAATGTTACTATTTACAACAAAGATACAGTAATAAAAATGAAACAAAATGCACTTGAGTTTAAAGACAAAATTTCTTCACCTTTTATAGAAAGCATTAGTTTGAGGAACGAAAGAACCATTATGATTTACATTGGGCAATCGTCAGCTGTATTCAGTTTTCGATCTTTACTCAATGCAAAACATTTGAAGACAGAATTTGTAAACATGTTTAAAGGCTTTTATGCCTCTGACCATTTCTATTAAGGCCTCATCTTGTAGTAATTTGTCGTATCCATTTTGTGGAGTCTCACTTACTCTTGCATAAACAAGATGGGCTGGCCAACCCATGTGCAGCCTTGGTTCATGGCTAGTGGAGTGGAAGTTACTGTGGAGCCACTCCTACATATTCAGTTTAAGACTTCAGTGAAGTATAATTACAGCAACTGGTAACCAGAGCTACGGCTGCGATCGGGTATCAGTCTGAAGCAAATGGACCTTTAAATGTGTCCCAAGAAGTTCACCCTATCAAGGAGTTCCTGCTCTGGGCTTAGGTGTTAGTTTTTTACCTTGATGTCTTCGGAAATGTAAAAGCTAACATCACCGACGCCCAGCAGATGTCATTCCTGGGTAATTCGCGTCAAAATGAAGTTCTTCCATATCGCGAATTACACGTCGTGGTTGGCATTATTGGAAAAAATAGTCTCTACTCCGAAACCTCTCAACATGGTCAGAGGCTGATCGAGTTCGCCGGGTTACAGTTTGGCCCTTACTCCAAGGCTTCTTTGGAAAAATAAATTTAAAAGACTTTTAAACGGTTACAACGCCTTCGGTAATAATTATATGGAAAATCTTACTTGGGTTCTTACACAAAATTTAATTTCAATGTATCATCTATATATATATGAATGGGTTCCAAGTAGAACTGAAGTCTAGAATATTTGAGAGGAGTGGACACTTACACTAATATGGGCAACTTTGGCCTTAGTCCCTCTAATTGCGACAACGGACATCATAGGGCGACTTCATTTCAGATGCAAGCTTCTCAATGTCCCGTTAATATTTCCCTTGCCTTAGTACTTAATGTGTCTTCTGCTTCCTTATTGTACATATGTATGTGGGAGATGCATTTACCTCTGTTTTAAGTTATTTGCTGAAATTGTAACTGAAGCTCCTTCCGTTCCAGGCGAACATTGTATTAACTCATTAAAAATCTACCGTACTTCCGTACTTAGAATAAAGCCTTCAAAGATCATCAGAAGATTGTGTAACGATTTCAATATTTCGCCAGCATTAACTATTCTGATGCGCTCTTCTGTATCAAGCTATATTTACTAACAACACTTTACATATCTTAGTTTCTTAATATCAATTTCGCTTAAAGCAGCTGATCAAAGATCTAAGGCTGTTCAGCGTGAGAGGCAAGTGGAACCGCGATCGGTCTCGGGCTTGGATTTTACCTGATTTTCGGTCACAGGTTGTTTTGATTTTACGTTTATCCTTATAACTAGTAAAAAAAAGGAGATACTGAGTATATACTCCGCAGCCCATTTCGGACCTGTAAGTGTAGATCTAGATAGTATCTTCCCCGCTACTTGCCATTTCTCCATTCGCGTCTAGAGGATAGCTACTAGCGACATCTAACCATGGGAGAAAATAGTAATTTAATTGAAATGTTTGTTAGCTGGCTCTTTGTATTGCTTTGTCCAAAGCGCTGTAGGTGACGACATTATAATTCCATAAGTCTAATACCGGAAGATTCTGCAACCTTGCATGGTTGGGAATGATTTAATAACTCCAGGTTGATCTTTAAATTTTATTTATTATTTTATTATTACACTACTTCCGTAAGAAATAATTTCTTTAATTACAAGAGTTTGCATTCACCTTACTGGCTCCAGTTTCTGCTAAGTATTCTCTTTGGTAAAATAAAACTGGTAAAAGCGATTGTCACACTCTTCTCTTGAGGCCAATTCTTCACCAGCCAAAACATTCGCCTTAGACAGGAACAGATGAAAATCCCTTGGTGCGAGGTCCGGAAATTCGGTGCACGAGGTTTCTTCCTCTTTAACTCATGTGGCATCCATACATCGAGCTTCAGCGTGTATCCAGCCTTTTTCATGTGGCTCCCAACTGTGTTTTTGTGCAATGTTTACCATCAATGTTCCTAATCGTGGAGCATCTTTTACATTAAAATTACCGAAACGAAATCGACGAAACCAAAATTGCGAATGACTAAATATTACAGGATCAGGATTACAAACGTTATTCACAATTGCAGGTGCCTAACTTCCGTTCTCGAACACAGCGCATTTTCTCTTTGCTGGGGTCCATCTTTGACATGCGCTCAAACGCTACTGAGTTGAGTGAACAACACATTTCCCGTTAGCGTTTTTAGCACAAAATATCGTCTTCAAATCTTTTGAACGCCATCTAGCGTAATCCAATCACACTTATAGAACGCCAGGTACACATCACTAAAGGATTACTTTTTACTAGAAAAATTTGTTTCTCTACTTTTAAAAATTTTCGGCTTGCACCTACTATTATTTGGTTCATATTTATTTAACATATACATACGTAGTTATACATACGAGGTGTGTTCAAAAAATATCGCGAATTTTGTGGTTTTTTCAAAAAAAAATTTGATTTATTCATGAATATCTATTTTGTCCCCTTCAAAGTAATCCCCATGAACGGTTTTTCCAATCTTCGAAGCACTTCAAAAAATCATTTGATTTATCTTGTTCAGCTCCTCCTTCGATGCCGTCTTCACCTCGTCAATCGTAGCGTAACGTCGTCCTTTCATGGGCCTCTTTAGTTTAGGGAACAAGAAAAAGTCACAGGGGGCCAGCTCTGAGGAATACGGTGGTCGCGCACAAGCAACGATGTGTGAGCAGGGGCATTATCGTGGTGCAAAAGCCAATTTTTGTTCTTCCACAAATCCGGCGTGTCTGGCGGATTACTTCACGCAAATCGCGCATAACCTACAGGTAATATTTCTTATTGACCGTTATACCCTGTGGCAAGAACTCATGATGCACCACGCCCCTGCAATCGAAGAAAACTGTCAGCAAAACTTTCATTAACAATTAAAAATCGAAGACCATCCAAAACACATGCAAGCAAAGCAGCTATCAACAATTAAGTGAACATTCAAAATGGCCGAGCTTGTCGGCATAAGTGACAGGCATGAGTACCAACATAACGCCACAAAAAAATCAAAATTCTATTATACGTAACCCGCGAAAATTCAAAATTAGCGATACTTTTTGAGCACACCTCGTATATAAATCATTGAGCATTTTTGTTACCCTGTGCTCCAAAATAATAATAATCATCAAAAATGTTAAAGAAGATCGCGATCGCATAAGTTAAATATTTTTATTTTTTCCCAATACAAATATATTTACTACATATACATATATGCACTTTAGATATTTATATATAAATATATATATTAAGCAATATTTTACAAAATCAATTCGACGGAAATAACGTACATATTGCTTCATTCTACACATGTCCATACGTATGTACACATGTACATATTTAAGCAAGTACAATTTAAAGGAATTACACACGCTCTTTGGGCTTACGCATTCGAAAAATCCACACTACCCTAATGTATTGTATGATTTTATTATTGGATCAATAACATAATAACATATTTAATATCTATTAATTAATATTTTAATATTCAAATGTTTTTTTTTTTTTTTACTCTAATGGTTATATGTATGTATGTATTCATATTTTACATGTACGTATGTATGTAAGCATACGAGTATATCTACGATTATATCAGTCTAGCAAAAGGAGTTTAGCATATGATTGTTAGTTAAGTTCAGTAACCGCGTGGACGCATGGTCGCGTGGTCGTGGGACACTTCATCTAAAAAGAAAGAAGGAAAAAGTAAAGTCAAGTCAGTGGAAAAAAGACAGTTTTTCGCTAATACACGTATGTACATATATACCTATGTGTAAATATTTTTTTAAATAAATTTTTTTTTTTTTTTTTTATTATTTATGCAGAAATAGCAACCTATGGTTACACATTGCTGCACATCTACATATGCCACGTTAAGCGAAATTCCATTGCAGCTCATTTGCCTACCACACGCCAATTTTCAATGAAAATACCACCTGCAGTCTCCATGGGAAGACTTGAGTTAGTTTGCCTTAGTAAAAGTCGGTATTGGCAAGCCCGACTTTTGTCACACAGCAAATGCAAGTTGTTGGTGTCAATTATAAAATCAGCTGCGCCCGTCAACCATACCATACATTTCTTATACCCATCTCTACCATGTGGATAGGGTACGTTTATTATTGTTATTTTGACGCAGAAAGTCTTGCATTTAATGGATTTTCGAATTTTGTTATTTTGGAATGTGTGATACGGAAATTATTGGAAAGATCTCAATAGAAGTTAGCACAAAAACGTAGTGGTTATCTTCTTCTTTATCAACATAGACACTGCTTACTCGATTATAGACGAGTCAACCACAACGAGTCATTCATTCCTTATTTTCGCCGTGTGGCACCAACTGTAAATTCCAAGGAGCCAGGGCCTTCCACACCTGGTCTTTCCAACGATTTGAATTCCTCTTCCTATGCTTCTATTGGAAACTTTCAAAGCTGGAATACATATTCTTATCCATAAATCTTACGCAAAGCCAGTCTATCGAAAACTCCTAACGCCAACTGATCAGTTGTTGTCGTCGTCCATGCCTGCACATCATATAGCAGGACGTAGTGATCAAACCAAATAAAAAATAGTGTAATAAATCTTGTTGTTCTGCGCAAATCAAGGCTTCAGCCAAGGCCACAGTCTATCGTTTGACTTTTACAACTTTAAACTTGCGGAACTAAGATGGTAGAGTCTTCTGTAAGGGCGAAGAACGTGTGCTAAACATATTGATATCCAGACTAAATAAAGCAGCAAAGCGCGGCCAATAAAAATAGAGAAGAAAATGGAATATATTCTGCCATCATAAAAATAGTTAACACGTTCATGTTTAAAAGTCATAACTTAAAAGTCCAAAGAATATGTAAAGAGACAGCGGATATGCCTCCGAAGGTAAGTAAATGTTCCAGCTGTGAAAGTGTACCATGGTGCACACGTTGGTAACAGTATATAGGGGGGAAAGAGATCAGATGGAGAAGAACCTGGCTAAACTTGGTGTCTCCAATTGGTGACGATCTGTTGGCGCATTATATTGATGGTAATGTAATAAGCCGTGCCTACGCCAATTAAGAACAAGCATAAAACTTGGTTTATACTTTTCTCCAAGTACGTTCGTATGTGTCTAGCTTGTTTTTTTTTTATGAAACTTTAAGAAGTATGACTTTGAACTGTGGTCAACCACAGGTTAAAATGAATGACCATCCATTGAGACAGTATAAATTGTTAAAGTAACAAACAGGTAAAGCAAAAATTGTTTTGGCTGGTGGATCCTTCATTTCATGTCAGAAGTTTCGTGGAAGAATTGATATTGTCTGCCAACCATTAAGCTGCCGCAGTCACTGACCGAAAATGTCTTTTACTTAACAGCAATCGCCACCTGAACGTAGCGCTTCCTTAGTATTTTCATTTCGAGACTCCCCTATCAGTCTATACACGTGTACACATGTATGTGAATACATATGTATGTACCTATGGTTATGTGGGCACAGATAGTTGCATATTGCTGATTTGATTTGCTTTCTTTTTGTTGCATTTCATTAATGTTGGCCATGCACCGGCGCGCGCCTCATCTCTCAACTCATTTTGTATTCATTTTTAATTAGTCTAATATGTTTTACAGTTAAATATGCTCCAATTACTCAATGCATATATTATTATTATTTACAATAGAAAAGAAAAATGGAGAAAAATGGAGAAAAATGAAGTGAGCACAACCTCATCGTAATCTTCTGTATGCTCACTTTACCATTATTTACGAGTCTACCACATACGTGTATGTACACACTAAGTCATAAATATTATATATGTAAGTACGATTACACATGCATATACATATACATGCACCAGTATTGGGTACACACCTTTCAAGCAACTGGGTGATTTTTCCTCCACCACCAACAATTCCATTACTCATCGTGTTCGTATTCGTGCGCGCTTCTTCTACTCATATCCCAATCACATACGATCATCTACACGTCCATCGCACATCGTCCGCCAGCCAGTGGTTGTCACGCGAATCACAAAATACCGCATTTCTTTAGCACAATTTTACGTTTTCGCGCCGTTGAACTCTTTTTAGCTGCGCGCAACACAATTGTGCCACTATTGGATTTCGTGAATGTCGGACTGAAGGCACTAATTGTGGGCTGATGACCACTGGAACTGCCATTAAAACTGCTGCCGCCACCATTTCCACCTGCATGCGTGTACGACTGGTCACAGCTTTCACCGAGCATCAACTGGTGACATTTGGTAGCCAAATATCGGAAGACCGATGCCACATTTACGTCCTCCTTGACGGAAGTTCGTATGAGGCGACAATTCAAATTGCGCGCCAAAGTTTCCACTTCGTCTGCGGTCACTACCGACTGTTCGATAAGATCGATTTTATTCTGTACAATCACTGTTGGTATCTCATTACATTCGTTTTCCACTTTACGCTTCCAATCCTTGATAGCATCGAATGAAGCGCGATCTGTTGTGCTAAACGTAAGCACGCACGCCTGCGCACCGCGATAATAAGCTTTGGTAATGGCGTCAAACTCCTCTTGGCCAGCTGTGTCCCATAACATTATGCGTACATCCTCACCATCGATCTCGATTTGTCGCTCGAGAAAATCCACACCAATCGTCTTCTTATAGTCCTTGGTGAAAATGCCCTTGCAATAGCGTTGAATCATGGATGATTTCCCAACGCCACCGTTGCCTACAATCACCACCTTAATGGCGATTTCGATGTCGTCTTCGCGCATTATGTCATAAGCGTTGGAGGGAGCCGTTGTTGATGATGTTTCTACAACGCCAATGATGTGAATTATGCTGATCGGTGTATGCAAATGTGTATTGCAATAAGGTGAAAGACTTGTTGGCGTTGTTATTGTAGCTTTTGCGAAACAGTAAATAAATTCACGAGCGTACGGAAGACTGTGTGCTTTTGTAGCTAACAACAATGGCTAACGGTTGTTATCAGTCGAATTATAGCGATGCTTGACGATGTGTAATATGCGATTTTTAGCGGTTATTTTATTAATGCACGTTTTAATTATTAACTGGCGCTGCTAAATCTGTAAAAAATGGTATAACAATTTTAATTAACTCGCACAAATATTCATACAACGCTGTGCGTATATACATACATACAATACGTGTACATATGTACGAGTATTTAACATTTATTATCTATATACATATATTTTATTCATTTAGTTCGTTAACGTGCTATTCTTTTTCAATAAAACAGTTATTTAAAATGAGTTGCTTTGTTTTTTGGTCTAAAAGAGTTAATTTTCGCCTTTGAATTATAATTTTTCATTCACTTTCTATTAAATGATTTCACTGAACTTTCAACTTCAAACAGCAACAACAACAAGCGCTAACGCATCCGTTTCAGCAAAAACATATATGCATACATATACATATACATATATACGTATATATATATAATATTTATGCACAAATCATCGACCAATAAACTAAATAACTAACTACCAACACGCAATGCCACTAAAGTTGTTAATCATCAGCGACCGCAAACATACATACACGCATACATACTTACAACAATAATGTGTACGAGGCGTGTTCAAAAAGTATCGCGAATTTTGAATTTTCGCGGGTTACGTATAATCAAATTTCGATTTCTTTGTGGCGTTATGTTGGTACTCATGTCAGTCACTTATGCCGACAAGCTCGGCCATTTTGAGTGTTCACTTAATTGTTGTTGACAGCTGCTTTGCTAGCACGTGTTTTGGATGGTCTTCGATTTTTACCTATTCAAAAAAATGGATCAAAGAACCCGTATCAAATTTTGTGTGAAAAACGAAATTAAGTGCGCGGATGCATTCCGAATGTTGACTGTGGCATACGGAGAAGCTCCCTTGGACCGAAGCAACGTTTATCGGTGTTACAAAATGTTCTCAGAAGGCCGAGAAGATGTGAACGACGAAGAGCGTGCCGAACGCCCGAGCACTTCAACAACAGACGAAAAAATTAATTGCAGGGGCGTGGTGCATCATGAGTTCTTGCCACAGGATAGAACGGTCAATAAGGAATATTACCTGCAAGTTATGCGCAATTTGCGCGAAGTAATTCGCCAGAAACGCCGGATTTGTGGAAGAACAAAAATTGGCTTTTGCACCACGATAACGCCCCTGCTCACACATTGTTGCTTGTGCGCGACTTTTTGGCCAAAAACAACACACTAATGATGCCGCAGCCCTGTGACTTTTTCTTGTTCCCTAAACTGAAGAGGCCCATGAAAGGACGACGTTACGCTACGATTGACGAGATAAAGACGACATCGAAGGAGGAGCTGAACAAGATATAAAAAAATTATTTTTTGAAGTGCTTCGAAGATTGGGAATACCGTTAGCACAAGTGTATAATATCTCATGGGGATTACTTTGAAGGGGACAAAATAGATATTTATGAATAAATAAATAATTTTTGAAAAAACACACCTCGTACATTTGACTATTGGCAAACTGCCAGTTGGACTATCAATCAGATTCGCTTACTAAAAACCGCAAAGCCCCATACATACGAGTATGTACATAATCACAATTATTAATTTTACCATAATAATAACGCAGCATCGACCGATCTTACACGCTTAGTAAAAACATTCAATGAATTTTCCGATTACGATTTGACAGCTTCGCTCATTCAACTTGCTAGTATATCCAACCGGTTGGTAGTAGGAGTTTCTACAAACGTTCAGGTTATTTGATGCCGCATTCATATGCCGCATTATATTTATGTATGTACACATGTTAGTGCTTATGTATGTGCATTAGGCTCCGTCAAATCTCTATATACTCATACATACTCGCACATAAATAATTGGCGTTTTATAACCGCTAAACCAACTGAAAACTGCTTTGCTACGTCTACTGGAGTTTTGTAGGATTATATGTATATACATACATACATACATACATACATACATACATACATACATACATATATATAACTTATAATAAATAAAGCATGCCCAATGATTGGAATTTAAGTGTGCTCTACCCCCCAATCCACAAAACACACAGTCTGCGCCAACTACCATGAGGTAAGCCTCCTTAATATCACCGTCAAAAAACTGAAAACTGATTGTTTCTTATCAATGTGGCATAAGAGCTGGTAAGTCATCCATTGACCAGATATTCACCATGCGCCAAATCTTGGAAAATACCCGTGAAAAGAAGATCGACACACACCACCTCTTCGTCGATTTTAAAGCCGCCTTCGACAGCACGAATAGGAGCTGACTTTACGCCACTATATCTGAATTTGGTATCCCCGCAAAACGGGGCTGTGTAAGCTTACGCTAGACAACACCAAAAGCTCCGTCAGGATCGGGAAGGACCTCTCCGAGCCGTTCGATGCCAAACGAGGTGTCAGACAAGGCGCGTCCTTATCGTGTGACTTATTTAATTTGATGCCTTAGAAAATAATACGATAATATTCAGCTCTGCAGGAATAGAGAAGGTACAAACTTCAATAAAAGTGTACAACTACTGGCGTGTGCCATTGATATTGACATTATGGGCCTCAACAACTGCGCCGTTAGTTCGGCTTTCTCCAGACTCGATAAAGAAACGAAGCAAATGGGTCTAGTAGCGAATGAGGGCAAGACGAAATATCTCCTGTCATCACACAAACAATCATAGCATTCGCGACTTGGCTCCCACGTCACTGTTGACAGTCATAACTTTGAAATCGTAGTTAATTTCGTCTGCCTAGGAACCAGCATAACGTCAGCCTGGAAATTCAACGCAGAATCACTCTTGCCAACAGGTGCTACTTTGGAGTGAGTAGACAATAGAAATGTAAAGTCCTCTCTCGGCAAACGAAAACCGAACTCTACAAGTCCCCTCAACGTTCCCGTCCTGCTATATGGTACGAAAGCAAGGACGATGACAACAACTGATGAGTTAGCGTTAGGACTTTTCGAGAGAAAGGTTGTGCGTAAGATTTATGGTCCTTTGCGCGTTGGCAACGGCGAATATCGCATGATGGAACGATGAGATGTACGAGTTATACGGCGACATTGATATAGTTCAGCGAATCAAGAAACAGCCGCTAAGCAGGCTAGGTCGTGTGGTCCGGATGGTTATGAATACTCCAGCTTTGAGAGTTTTCTTTGCAGTGCCCGCCGGTGGAAGAGGCAGCCATTCACTCCGGTGGAAAGACTAGATAGAGAAGGGCCTGGCTGTACTTGGTATTTCCAATTGGCGCCAAATCAAATGGTTCCAAATGGTTTTTTGTGTAAACAGTGCAGTCGGTCGGACTTGACAATGTCCATGAATTTAGCGACATTTTCGACAATTGGCCTTCCATTCCGTGAAGCATCTTTTACATCCAAATTCTCGGAATGAAACCGAAATTGTGCATGATTGATTGTAACAGTACCTGTAAATTTTCAGCCACCTGGCTTGCGTTTTCGCCCTTATCGGAGAAAATTTGTAAAATAAAGCGTTTTTCTCTTTCACCCAAGCTCAAACAAAACTGAATCAACCAATCACAAAACTGTCAAAAAAAAACATCTAGCGGAACCCGATCGGACTTATGCAACGTAAGATACGGATAAATAACGCCTTCTATTGGAAAAATAATGGATTTCTTTTTACTGCACCAATATACTATTGTAGTATAATCTACACAAGCAATAGATGTGTTTGCAAATAAGTGAACATGAATTTATCAGAGGAAGGTCCACAGTTCCAAATGCTTGCAATATTTTACTAGAATTTTGCAAAAACTTTCGACAGAGTCTCTCGCAAAGTTCTAGTTGCCAAATTATCTAGCTTGTGCTTTCACTCCACTTTTCTTCAGTGGATAAAATCTCACCTATGTCTCTGACAGACTCCGTCAATTGTTATTGATAATGTCTCATCGCAACTTTATAGCAACAACGACGTACCTCAAGGCACTTTATTTTATTCATCAATGTTTCCTTACATCTAAGTTTCTTCTTTATGCTGATGACCACAAAATTGACTCAGTAATTAAAAATCCGAATAATTCCATTTAATTTAATTATTTATGGTTGCTTCGGTTGCTTAATTCGGTTCCTAAAATTAAGGGCATCGGTGACTATTTCAATAGACTAGCAAGCTGTTGATCGTCATAACAGCACTTCGTTTTCAAGTCCCTACATATTGAAGATTCTTTATGTTTCGTTTTTAAGAACAAGGATTGATTCTGATTCTTCCACCTGGAGACCACACCATCTTATTCTTATATGAGTCGCATAGATTGAGCACAGAAAATTTTCTTGAAATTTGTCTTGTGCTTTTTATACTTCTCTGAACCGACACATTTGTATGAAACTCGATGTGCACTCTAATCTCTCCACACTATACTCTCCTTTGTCGCTTTTATTTTCGTGTCAAATATAGTAAACGGTTTAGTGCACCTGGGCGGCTGCGAAGTCCATGGTTCGAGTCTGGATTCTACTAACATCGAAATTTAGGTAGGTCCCTCCATTTGTTGGTAAAACACCACAACACACACCACGAATTGGAGTAGGAGCTAGGCCAAACATCGCTTCAGATGCAAATGCTAACCTTTGAACTTTTGCAGCCGACAATGGTGCCGGTGCTAATGTTTGCAATACCAAATTTCTTGCTTTTAGTTGCCTTTTTAATGGAGTTTTGACTAAAGAATCATTTCTGAAAGAATCGGTGTATGGGAGCTATTGGGGTCTGATCTGGCGCCGATCTGGACAGTTCCGGCAAATGTTCGTTTAAATGTACCAGTGCAAGTTTGGTGGAATTATCTCATAAAGCGAGGGACTGTTTGCCTACAAACAGACCTTAATGGGTCTATCATACCTCCTTCTTCGGGCACATACATACTCCAATTTGGCCGTGTCGACGGTGGTTGCTTTTGTGGTCCGGGCGGAGCATGATCCAACCTGTCTCAGCTTTTTCACGCAAACTCGATCGGCGAGCATTCAATATCACCACGTGTATTTTAAACGTTATTCATCGTAGCAGACAGTTTCTAAGCACCTTACCGTGGCTGAATGAAAATCTACTTGTGGACACGGTGACGGTAGTCATCG